TTGTTCGACTGTTTTAAACTGGCTAGAACTATTTATTCGAGTTAAACATTACTTAACTCGTTAAAGATAAACATTACTTAGTTTGTACTTTCTGAAAATTACAAAATGTCTTGAAATTTGATAATTTCACGTAATTATATAATTGAATATGAAGGATATTACAGACAAATAACTATACTTCATACTTTAATATCTTCATACTTGAAAAATTGTTTGTTAATACATAAATTGGAAAATAACGCTTGTGGAAATTTCCGTATTTTTTTACAATTTCTAATAAGGTAATATGTGTTATAATTACTGTAATGTACATATATGTATGTGAATATAAGTTTAAAGTAAAACTTGTTTACATAATCCATTTAATTGCTGCAGTATGCCAAAATATGCATCGTAATTTATTTTCAAAGAAGTAACAGTATCACGAGATTTTGGAACTTGCTTTTATTCGCTTTTAAGTTTGAAATGGTGTTCAAGGATTTTTGTGCCAAACATTTCTTCGATCACTATCACTACTGCTGAGATCTCACTCTACGCGATATTAAATCATTTCGAAAGATCGCACCACTTTAGATATCACGATTTTATTACATTTCTAAGGGATAAGAGAAAACATATATGTTATTTGGATATGTTATAATCGTTGTTGTTATTAAAAACAATTTTGCAAATTTTTTTGCAAAAATATCATCACGTGCAAATTTTTTACAGAAATAACATTTTAGAAATACCAAGAAAATACACTAAAAAGTATATGAAATATGCTGGTAAAGTTACTTGGACAAAATCGAAATATTTTGTATGTAATATAGAAGAATAAAGTTGACTGTTGTAATTTCGTACTTTTGTTATAATTTTCTATACAAAAAGTATATAAGAGCTTATAAACACTTCTTTCTTAATTTTGCTCACAGACTGTTAACGCAGATTGTTAATAATTATTTAACAGTAACGAGTGGTCGGAACTTCGTGGAATTATCGTCAGAGGGCTTAGAATTATTGCTTAAAATCTCAAACGAACCGAGAACTTATCTTACAATTAGAAGCATAGCATATCACTATAGTGTGGGTGATATACTGTTATTGTTAATAAATATTTAGAACTAGCCTACAGTCGGAACTATGTTATAAAACTATAGAAGTCGTCGAAAACTATAAAATTTACTAGAGTATATTTCGAAAAAGTTATATGATATACTAATTTCCTGGGAACTTAGCATATTATTTTTAAATTTTTGTTATTTCTGGTAAATGACCAAAACTATTGTTAAAATTTATCAAAAACTATAGAACTCAACTGTATGCAAAGAGAATTTCACTTTTTTTTTAATATGCTAACAATTGATGTGCCAAGTTCATACACATCGACTCGCCTACCTGAAACGGAGATACACCGCATCCTTTTTTCCTTTTTGAAACTCTATTCTTCTGAAGAGCTCATTTTAAAGGGAAAACTTCGAGGAATATGACCATACCGTTTTTAAATATAAACTCTGATAAAAAGGAACGTTAAAAGAAGAGTTGCACGTTTACCATAGAATGTATGCGGTTCGGAACTATTCGGCAACGTTCGGTAATTTGCGGCGCGCGAACTGTTTTTCACGATTTGTGTTTCACGAATTTATTGTTTATATAGATTTGAATGGCGTACATTAAAAACGCTTTTACAGAACGATAAAGAGATTTATCGTTTTAACTCTTTATTTATTTTTTTATTATATTACATATATATAGAGCTAAAATTTTAGCTGAACACTTTTGAGATGTAACAGTTTGAGGAAACAAACAGTAAAAATACCGGGATTTTAAAACAGGTTTACTCAGATTTTCAGGATATAAAGTGGCTAAACTTAAAGCTGTATCAACTGGAATCGTTTCATAACACAGTGTGACCGTCAAGGGTTAAATAATATAGTTTTATTGCTTCTACATATTTTTACACATTCATTAAGATTCTTATGCGTACTAAAGAATGACAAATACTTTTCTGAATAACAATAATCAATTTCGAGTAAAGAGAGTACATATAGGCTTAGCTCCCATGGAATAAAATCTAACCCTATCGTTGGGTGTAATCACGGCCAAAATCGATAAAACGTTACAAAAACGTATTTCGGGTTATGTGTAAATAAACAACGTAATTAATCTATCTTTAACAGTGTGTAATGTAAACAATCTGGCTCGATTGAATCAGAAGAATTGCAGAAACATTACATTCAAGCAAAGTAAAGAATACTGTGTCACTGATTCTAATTGCAACAAATGTCATTTAAAAGAGTATATAGATATTAACATATCACAAGGTATGAAACTTTTTTCCACCTTCACGAAAATTATAATAAAGCATCAGTATCATGGCGGCATATGAATTATAAATACACAGCATTTTATTACTCAGTCGATGATACGATCATCGATGAATACAGCAGACATTAGAAGTGAACGGGTGAATTGAAATTATAATTCGCTACTGATGATAAAAACGAGTGGCACGAGTCACGAATACAAATGCAAGATAAATATACCGGTGCGAAATGATTATTCATCGTGACAACCTGTGGTTTCAGAGCTTCTCAGACGTCTAGAAATTAGTGATGGAATGGAATATCTTGTAAGTACATTTGAACATTGCTTACATTTGCACTTCCTTTCAGTATTTTGGATCATAAAAGTACTTCCAAGTATTACTGAATTTTATTTCGAATGCAGGGTTCAGAAAAATCAACATTTTAGAAGTAGGAAATTAATTTTGTATTCAGAAATTTTATGATTTTTTTTTTTTAGAAAATTAAAAACTTCTGATTCCAAGATTCAAGAATTTTGATAAATTAGTAAGTTATCAATATGGGAAATTACGAAATTTGATAACTTAATGAATTGGAGATTTGAAAATGTGAGAATATAGAAATCTGAGAAACAGGAGATTTGGAAATTTTCTAATTAAAAAATTTGGAAATATAAAAACCCAAGGAGTTTGCGAGTTGGAACACTATTTGGAACCCAAATTTAGAAATTTAGAAGTTTAAATATTTGAAAACCTTCTAACTTAAAAATTTGAGAATTCAAAAATTTGAATATGCGAAAATCTAATTTAAAAATTTGGAAATTTGAAAGTTTAAATATTTGTAAATGATCTAATTTTAAAATCTAGAAATTTAAAAGTCTGAATATTTGGAAATCTTCTAATGTTACTTTCGTTGAAAGAAAATATGTCTCTGCTTATAAACAAGCTTTTAAGATCAGGTGTTTCATATTCAGCGTAATTATAAAATTGTCATGTAATATAAGGATCGCGGTAATTAAACTCAACTTCGTCATAAAATTAAAAATTACCGTGTGCAATGTATAATTACCTCGTGTTCCGAACGTATGCACATGTAACGAATATAAATTTTTATTCTATAATGAAATATACCTTTAATTGTAACCATCATATATTATATGATAATATTTTAAAATTAAATATTTGAAATATTTTTAATGTGATAATATTAAACATGATACAGTTTATTAAATACAGTAACGTAATTTAATAATTATTAAAATAAAAAGTGGAAGAGAACCAACATATACAGTTAAAACATCATATAACTTTAATAACTCTAGTTATTTTCTAAATTCAACACAACTGTTTATACGATCGTTAAAAAGAAGGGATATAATTTTTAAATAAACAAAAATTTAATCTTTCAAACAAATAAAATACTATTACAGTTCTTACAATTAGTTTCTTTAGGAAAAATACGCGTTTTTGCATGTTTCATAAGATTTACAGTGTACTTGTCGCACATTATTATGTAGTACACAAATTTTGCAATATTTATCAAATACAGCATAATGTGAACAGTCAAACAGCTATTTTATTATTTTCATTCATAATGTCATATAAAATAAATATCTTCATTTATAAATAATATACGAATTCGATAAGTACGATGTAATTATAAGCATTGTATGTGAACATTATTTAAAACTTTTTAAATAAATGTAACTTCTAAGACTCAAATATTTTTCATACTTGCAAAAGGTTCTATACTTCCTTACATTGAAGTATTCATAAGTAAATATGTTTACAAAATTGTTTTCTTATCTTCTGTCTGTGACTAATAATAATTAATTAGCGTTAAATGATTAAATAATATTAAGGTAATATATAAACCGAATTTTTATGAAGCAGAATAGTGCATAGAAGTTAAGAAAATCTCGCTCTGTTTGAGTCGTAAGTGCTCGGGTTAGTTCGTAGGTACTCGGGTGTTTTTTGTAAATAGACGCGCTACTCCATAATTCTTTAAAGTAACATAAATCCAATAACCTATTGTCATTAGAAAATTTGTCTACAGTGACAAATATGAAATGTAATAAAATTATAATAATAATTTAAATATTATGAATGAAATAAGTAATTGTTAATACATGTTTTAATCTTTTTATCAAAATAATTCCTTTTCTTATAGCAAGTAAGATATGCAGAATAAAATAAATATTTGAATAATTATTTGCCTATATTTTATTTTTCTTTGATTACTTTTATCAATAGCGTCCACTTTGTAATTAATAATCATTAATAATGCTTATTCGTAGATCAGCATCTCAAATGTATGACTTTTCGAGTTCTCATGTCAAATAAATAATTAGTTATATACTTTAAAAACTTGAAAATCAAATTATATCATATAATCTCAAAACTAATACAATATAATCAAATTTAGAATAAGCTAGAATTATTATTCTGTTTTACAAAGAAAGTGATTTGTAGTGAACGAATTTTCAATTGAGCATCGATGGTGAATAAGTTTATAACATAATTATTTAATAACTTTTAATAGAAAAATAATTTAAAATTGAATATATAATTATTGATAGATTTGAAATAAATAAAAAATGACATCTAGATACCTGAAATGTTGCTTGATTTGTTTTCATACATGTTTGCGCATCGTCCTTTGCTCAAATTATACAAATTACCGTAACTGACATTTTAATTAAAAGCATCACAATACCTGGGATGGAATAAGGTGTATTTTGCGGTTGCGGTGCCCAGTAGGCTTGACTGATTGCAGGATAATGACTTTTTGATCCGAGGCTGGGCCCGGTATACTGTTTCCTGCTCTTCATCGCCATCGTTACTCTTTTCTACCACGTGCGTCGTGCGCGGGAAGTTTAAACTGACTGACCCGCAGATGGCAGTTCTGTCGTCGGTTCACGTTGTACCACCAAATATCAAACTTCACAAATATCACTGTGGATAACCATTCTTTCACTATTTCACAAAACGAACGATCTTAATAAATACACGGTGTTGTATGATTATCGATCAATGAAACGTAAGATATATATTTACAACGGAAATATCACACGTTCCGGCTGCGTCTGTCACGCGCAACACAATGCATCCTGTGTTCCGAGTTCACGATTATTTTCTCGCAAACCAACCCGCTCTTATGTAATCACGTCGACGACGCTTATGCAATACGCGTGTAGAACAATCGTGACAACAACAATCGTCGATGGTAACGGTGGCGAGGCCTGTTTCTGACAGCGGCGACGTATCGACCTGCTTTGTCCGGTCTGCGCAAATAAGTTTCCCGTTTTCGTGAACGGCAACGATGCTTTTTCCATCGATTCCACGACGAGTCAACGGTCTGATCGAACCGGCATCGTCCCGACAACGTTTCTCCTTGGATCTATTGTCAGCTGATCGCGTGCGATTCGATGTAGAACAAATATGTGGGAATAATAGTCGTGGACAGGCCGCCGGCAAGAAGATACCGTGACTCGAGCACTCGAAAATAGATGCCGTCCGCTGTTCCAGGAACTTTTGCCCGCCGTGGCAGCGAACAACGATGATAAGACACGCGACGTGCAACAACTCCTGCGCACTGCACGATTCACGTTTCTCCATAAAACTTTTTCGCCACCGAATCGTGAATACAGTATTCGATCGATCGATCGATTTGACACGACGTGCGTACGTTCACCCACACACACGTGCTTTTTACGTTCGCTGTCACGAGCAAGCGCGTTCATACGCAACGTCGCACGGGAAAAACACACGCGACCGTTGTGTCCCTATCGGTCGTGGCGAACGAACGGTAGGACTCGGTTCGTCGCCTGACACTCAACAAGTGAGAGAACCGGTGTTCGCCTCAAGCTTCCACCGCCGCTCGTCACTTCGTGCTTCTTCGTGCATTCACGACTGTCCTCTCCCGCCCCTCCGCCAACCCACCGCGCCCACACCGCCCTCTCTTCTGTTTTCGCTTCAATCGTTCTTTCTCTTTCCGCCGGCTTCTTCTGCCTAGCGATGGAGATACGAAACTCCTTGTAACTTTTCAAACAATTCAAGCACGCTCCAACTTCGAATCACCTCGAATTTTACTCCAACTCCAAAAATTTTTAAACTTTTGATAGTATCGAAATTCTTGAAATCAGGGGCGATCACGAGTGAACCCTCGTAGCTGGCTGATAACGCAGCTTCCTTGACTCATGTTATTGTGCTGCCGCAAAGCTCATCGTTGTTTTTTTCTATATTACGTACAAATTATGAATAATATGTTCTACCTTAGATTAATTCTTTTTTACAATACATTGAATCTTTATAAAAGTGCAGAATTATTCGTGATAGTTTAAAGGGAGTAAAAGTGTCACGAAGTAATTATCATAAACTGAAAAGAACCGAAGGCGCCATTTTGCCGCCAGTTGGATAAAGTATTGTTTCATCTTTGGGCGGACTTTTGAGACTTACAAGATGTGTGGAACTTTTAAGATTTGCAAGACTTTTCAAAACTTCGAAACATTTAAATCTTTTAGGATACGAATAGAATTCAAAGTGATTCAAAACTTTGGCCAGAAATTTATATTCGAAGTACTTTATGACCCATCACTACTTATACCTTTCCTACTTCTTGTTCTCTCCTCTTTCTTTTTCATTGTCCACTTCGTTCTCCTCGTTCCTCGGATTCTTATCGATACTCGTGCATCAAACGTCGCACAGTGGAGTATTTGCACCGAAAAAGCGGACATGAGTATTTTAAAATTGACGCGCTCTTTAAACTTCTATAACTTTGTCAAAATTCGTCCAAAATTAGTAAATCAAAGACTATTTTAAAGCTTGAACTCACTATTCTTGAGATTTTTAACTATTTTTATCACAGTTGATACGAAAAAGGAAGAGACGGGATATAAGTAAGAGTACTTTTATTTGCATAAATTCCTCGACATTTGTCACATACTACGAACTGCAGATATTTTTCTTGCAGTTTTTAAACATATTATTAGTATTACAGAGTATTATCATTTATATTTAAATAAGTTAAACGCTATAGAAACAAAATGTTTGTTAAGAATAATATTTGCTGTATCGTCGAAATCTTTCTAACATGGAGAAATTTGATGTTTCAAAATAATAAATCAAGTTGATTTAGAAGATCGAAAAGTACAGAGTGGAAAGTTGAAAGGGCGAAAGAGAAGAAACTCAACGGAAAAATGTAGACCCGCACAAGTCTGGCTGCCAAATGTGCACTCTGACATTGACCAGACTTGCACTAGAGCCTGCGAAAATTAAAGATTGCAGAATAGGCAGGAAGTGCTTAGAAATACGCAGGCAACAGAGAAAGTTAGAAAAGTGTAGAAGAAAAGATAAATTAGCAAGAAGGTAGTGGTGGACACACCACAATACAAAAAATTAAAATATATATAACTAACTCTGAAGGCACTGTTTCAACTGAATGCATTTAGAAAATAGAGAACAGAGTTGGAGTCTTATTTGTACCATAGTATAAACATCTCTTGGGCCCTTAATCGTCGACAGTCTAGACAATTCTTTCGAAGAATTTATGAGCGTCCCGTGCATGGTCAGTGAACGCGGGCGTGCAAGCCTACGAGTAAAATCCGATGACAATTAAGTTTCAAATTGCTATAAAATCCGCAGTCGGACGCGGTCGGAACCAAATTTTTTTGCATTGCAATCAGGACATGTTACAGAATAAAATGACACCAAATAGAGCATCGGAGCACACCTGGAAGTATAACAAAATCATTAATGAAGTTTTAAAATCATAAAAAAAGATGATTAAATTATCGATCATATTCAAACATTAATTATTAGACAAATATGTATGATAACAAAGTAAAACCTGTTGGAAAATGAAGGTTATATTTGTCTGAAAAGTTTGCATATAATAACAATGTATTCAATGTTTTCAAAATGATGAAAAATTTTGAATATATAAGCGCCGCGTTTTGGACAATTGTCAAGGAAGGAAAGCGCGTCATAAAATCCTTCAGTTTCATTGAAGAACATCGCTTTATGATAGCATAAATCAACAAAAGGATGTTGATACATTGTTCCTCATATATTTAACTAACTCAAGCACCAGAAATTCTACACTTATTCAAATGCTTCGCCCTTCATAGACGCGGAACCTCGCTACTTACGAGCATTTCTATCGAATTTTCTTATAAATTCGAATAATCACTCATTAAAAAAGTCAACTCTGCCGATTTCACCGGTAGCTTAGCTGCCCCGGGTCGACTTCGTCTTCCCGTGCATGCGTGGACCTTCATAGCGGTAAATGTCTACCCAATTGAGGTCTATAGCGGCCTCAAAAAGATTTTCATCTTTCCGAGCACGCGGGGAGCTTGACGGCCACAGAAAACCCTTTAGTTTTCCGCGCATGCTGGGCTACACCGTTGAGAGTTGACACAATCAGACTTTTCCGATTTTAATGACAACATAGCTAACACATTTATAGCTAATATTCTCGTGTCTAAGATTACAATGTTGCGAATCGGTGCATCAATCGCTTATAAAATAAACATATAATAATTGAAACAAATGCGCTTCTTTGCTTAACGTTAAAGAAACTTAACATTAACATACATTAGATATTAAACATTATAAATAAACTTAAACTAAATCTATACTATACAACAAGTGTTGAGTTTTTCTTCAACAAATAAATTAAGAACCTAGAATTTAAAATTAGAGTTAGAAAATTCTTTGAAGATAATATGCATCGAATGCCTGCAATAGAATTAAAAGAATTCTGGTTTGAGCTTCAATTTGTTCAAAAATCGAATTTTTCTATTGTTTCTATTCACTTTTTGAGGTAATTCTGATGATCTTATGGTGTTGAAGAAACTGTTTGAATTTACCTCCAAATGATTTTATACGGTGAATGTAGGATCTTGAAATTATTGATTTAGCTCAACAATTAACTAAATAATACACTATTAATCAAGATTTCGATTCTTCATAGGTAAGAATCTTTCCTTATCAATTAAATTTTCTTATTTTTCCTACCGAAATATCATTATTTATTATGATATTACTGCTCTTCACACGCAAAAGCACATATTTAATTTTGTATAAAATATCTATCAAAATATATGTAATAAATAACACATAATAAACGAATATAATAAATAAGGAATTAAATCATGTGTTTCACGCATGAAGAAAGTGAGCGTATCGAAGAAAATTCCAATGATAATGATAAACTCATTTTTTAATTATCTTATGTAACAAGAAGTGAAATTATAAAATATTTCATTTAAAATTAAATACGCGGTTTTATATGCAAATGTAGAGATATACTATAACAAATAGTATTATATTAAACAAATCGTACTGTACTAACAATAGTAACACATTAAAATATAATAATACTTTATAACAAATAATATTATATTAAATTAAATTATATCGCATATGTGAATAATAAATAATGGCATTATAATACAATAAATATAATATATAAGAAAAGTTAACAAACAAAATTTTTCATTCCGAAAGTATCGAACCCTGATCGACAGCATACTTAATTCGTAAAAATATTAAAAATGAAAAATTTACAGTCATAAATATTTAAAAAATTACTAATTGTAAGTGAAACTAATACATTTAATGTAATATAACATATAATAGTAAATAATAATAGTAAATAATTTAATATAATGTAATATAATATAGTAATATATTATAATAGCAAAGATATTAGTGAAAAATAAACTAAATAATTTTTTCCTTAAAGAACATGGAATAGATGCTAAAAAATGATGTCGTGCGATATTATATCGCAAGACACAGTAAAATTTAATTTTGCAATCCAATGTACACATCAGTGCACTTTTAAAATTAAGAAATTGTATACTAAGTTGATCTGCTCCTCCTATAAACAATTTAACTGTAGTAAAGATCGGATGTAAAGAGATTTATTGCGTCAAATTATTTTATTAAAGTAACTCGGTATATTGTTGTATGTTGAATTAACGATTTAATATTAAACCCATCGTCGTATAATTTATACATATGTACTTACTATGAAAATAAAATGGAATTGTAAAATAAATAAACAAACAACAAAACGTTAATCAATATACTTATTAAATCTTTATCTTGATAAAAAGCAACAAAGATTTTAAGAAACTCACATTAACAAATTTTCTGACATAAAATATTGAGTGCCACCATTTAGTACTATGAAATCCTTTCAATTAATAATTTTGTTTTCAAGTAATCTAGTAAACAATTTTTATGATACTTAACTCTTTTTGATTACGCAAATCCTTGCATATCTAACAATATTATTTATAACATATAATACAAAATGTTCTTTAATAAAATAAACGATGTACCTACGTAATAATTCATGTTTCTCCAAAATGGTGGACGTGGTACTCAAAATGTTAAAATAAGAAACTTATAAAACGATCATTTGATTAGTTTGCTAATTTCAGAATTAGACATTGTATCGTTTGAAAATTTTTTTATTAGTTTCACAATTCTTTAATGGTACTGTTCTTCAATGATGACGTACAAATCTGCTATGTACGGAATATTTAATCCAATTCAAATATGAACAAGACAAACTCAATAGGCAATGTAACATGATCTTTGCGTGGCCTTCAATACGAAACATCCGTAAACCGGTAAAACAGTCTCTCCAGAATGGAAAATTTAACGACAGATATTTATCTTACTAAACATATCAAACCGATATAACGATGACACATCGGAAGTTCGAACCCTAAACCGTCTTCAATTTATATAAATAGACAAGTTATGCCTACAATTACAATTCTGTGTGAAAGTCGTTCAGATAAGTTATGACACTGAATAGATGTTCGATTATCGAGAGTTGCCAGTCATCCTGCTAACTCAGCAGATGGTATAAGAAAGGCGCCTACGTGAAAACTTCTATGTAGATCGAATGAAGTTGTGGGACACAACAGAACAGAGCAGCGTATTAAGAACAACATAGTCGTTTCGTAGTTCTAACCGTGTTCGAGGACAGTCGAATTTACATTTACACAGTGTTTCGTTTAACTGAGTGCTAAAGTTGTATTGAAATTCGCGAAGATGTCTTCGTTAATGTTTGAAACTCTTGGGTTGTTGGCAGCAATATTATTTCTGCTGTACTATTATTCCAAATCCAAGTTGGAATTTTGGAAAAAACGAGGTGTAAAAGGACCGAAACCAATTCCCTTTTTGGGCAACTTCAAGGATGTGTTTCTTGGAAAAATATCAGTCAACGATAGTTTCGTTAAAGCTTATTACGAGTTCAGGGATGAACCATTAATAGGAATGTTTAGTGGTCACATCCCAATTTTACTCGTTAAAGATCCAGAATTAATGAAAGATGTTCTTATCAAAGATTTTTCAAAGTTCGCAGATAGAATGCAAGATCCTGACATACAGGTATGTTTGGACCACATTTTTTAATGGAAAATTAATTTAAATCTTGACTTCTTTAAAAACTACAGAGACCTCTACAATTTCTGAACTAAACACATTTTAAGTTGATATAATTATTGGAAAATTTGTAATAGTAATCTAGCCGAGTTTTTAAAATAAAAATATTTTTTACATTTGCAAAAATAAAATGGCGGCACTAAAGTCCATCTATGTGAAACTTCCCAGAAGTGTTAAAATTGTTTAGTTTATTAATTATAAATATTTTTATGGATTATAAAAATGTATATTAAATGAACTACTTTCTTTGAACTCACAGTTTACTTAGGATATAAGTAACATTAAATAACCTTTACTTGGCAATTAATACTGTTTTGTATTGCAACACATACTGAAAATAAAAAAGTACCCATTTAAATAGATATTTTTCAGAATTAACATAAATGAAATTCTAATTTTTTTAGGTAAGATTCTTTTAACTGTGTGAAAAGGAATATTAATTTAGCGTATTGTTTTTTTAGAAAATATAACAATTAGAATAATTCAGTTATAATTGGTCACCATTATTATTCACATTTTTGTTATGTTAAAATATAAAATAGTTGCTCTTAAAGAAAATCATTTGCATTACATATAATTCGAGAATTAAAATGGAAATATCACTTTTATTGTTTTAAATAAAAAAATAACATAATGATAGTAACTGGCATCATAATCAAAGAAGATATAACATATCTACCGATGAAAGAACCTAACGTCGCTTTGCTGAAATAAGTAAAAAAATATTTAGATAAGAAGTTGAAACATTTCTACTAAACAGTTTAATCTGGAAAAGTAGATTCTAATCAATGACTAAGTATTTTCTCGTGTATACAAATTAGGCAGGCTTGATGTTAATTTTATTCTACCATTAAACTGTTTACAATGTAATAACAATTTATATTACTTTGTTTGCAAGAGTCTGCAGAATTATTCTATGATAAAACAGACTAAATAATTGCAAATGTCAAAATCTAAATCATTTCCAAGGTTGAACATCTGCAACTTTTTTTTAAGAAATTGAACACAAATATCTACAAAAATTATTTATTGCAAATCATACAATTGAACAAATATTACAATTTATCAAACGCTATTACAGACAGACAGTTTTTATTATCAGATTGAATTCTTACATTAGTTTAATCGCAATACTTTATTTACTTTTAGATTACATTATGCAATTATGTATCTAACATAGTTTGATAATGACAATCAAATGTTTTCACCGCGAGTTATTTAGACTATAGTATTTGTTTATATATTTATTTATGTGTGACCATATTTATAATGCAATGTTTATATATGTAATACAACCCCAACTTCCTGGTATAATGATGCTTCATACAAATAATTACAGAAAAACTATTTAGAAAGAATGTTACGTATTGATGCTTTATCAGTAAGCATAACATAATGTAGCTATGGTTTTCTAATTTTTCACATTAAATTTATCTGAAATTTCATATAAAATATGTAATTCGTAAAATACGTATACGTATTACAGTAGTTTCCTAATATATTGTGCGCAGGGTTAAATGAACTATTAACTAAAATGCTTAAGGTGCCAACGACAATGGCGTAGCATAGAAATTTTCTGTCATCAAATTTTCCAAGGATATTTTATAAAGTTTCAAAGTCCCAAAGTATCAAGTTTCCAAAATCACAAAATCTTAAAGTCTCAAAGTTCAGAGGTGTCAAATTTTCAAAATTCCATGGCTTTAAAATTCTAAATTCCGAAGTTCCACAGTCCCAATGTACCAAATCTTTAAAATTCCATCTGTTGAAATATTAAATTTACAATTTAAAAATAAAATAAAATTTTAGATTAAAAATTTTAAATGCCTTGCCGTGTTTATTAGATGCAACATGTATGTAATTGTAACTGAGTATGTAATAACATATACCACACAAATTAACCACTTCAAACTAAATTGAGATACGAGTATTACCGTTTCCTGTAAACTGAATGTTGCGTGTGAAAAGCGAAAATACCGTTAACGGTGTCTATTCGTTATTCGTAAGAAATCAAAATATTATCATAACCTTTAGCAAATATTAAGTATACAACAATTTCGAGGTACTATAAATAATATATGTATATTTATACACTATACACTCTAAATGTATATTTATCATTTATACATTTTATTGTATTTCGGACTAATAAGTTATAAAAATGCATGAATGATCGTTTATAAAAATGCATAAAAGAAAACTGAGCTTCAATGATCGTGATGTTGGAAAATGCTGTCAAGGTCATGTCTTTGAGTAACATATAAAACGTTTTCGCTATCTCTCGTTGTTTATAATAAAGTTGTTAGCACAACAGTTTAGAAAATATAATAGTTATTTTGAATATTGAAAGACAAGCACAAAGTACGGTTTGTCCAATTCGTCTAATATTTTCAAAACGAAACGAAACATATAATATATGAACGAAAATGTATCATTTAAAGTAGTAAATCGCTGCTACATAGAATAGTGTTTTTATGGATAAACTTTAACAAATGTACAATAGCCAGTACAATATAAATATGTAATAATAGACATGTTATATACAATAATAAATTCATTATTAAAATAATTTAAAACAATTTTGCATGCTTTAAAGTAAGAAAATGTATTGACACATTATCATCAAAATATCTTATGCAGATTTTCCATAACTTTTTAAGAATCGACAATTTTGCATGTTTCATTCCAAGACAAAAAGAATAATTATGATTCAATAATTATACATTTTTAATTCTTTTTATATGAGTTAGAATTTAAATTCAATATTCTTTTTTAAATATGCACTTCTTGTATATTTAAAATATTTAAATTAAAAATTTTAAATAAATAATTAGTAACAGTTGAGACCCTTCATTGGTCAAGTTCAAGGATATTAGGTCCGGGTCCCCTTTTCGACATTTTTACCAAATTTAATTAAAAGACCATCACCAAATAGAGCACAAGACTATAGCCCTCCTGGCTTCCTTTCCCCAAATTTCGTTAGATAGCATTTTTATTTTTAACAGATCTTACTAAACATTTTCACAGTATTTTATTATTATTCATAAAACAAGTGTTTAATACGAGTATTTCCTATTATGTAAGTGAATTGTTTAAAAATTTTGATGTCACCCATATTTGGCAATCAAAGTATTAATTTAGGCCTGTTTATATACATATTAATTTTCATTTTCTTCATACCAAACACATTCATAAACAAATCAACATATTTAATACTTACAAACGTATACTTCGTTTTAAGTAACAGAAGGATTTCATTATTTACATACATGTACTATTATAGTCATAATACTATTCTTAGACAGTGTAAAATTCTCGTATTATGCGTCAGTCACGCTTCAAGAAACAGTGTATTAATCGATGACTTTAACTGCGCAGTTAAGAATTGATTTTCGCGACGCGAGTTGACACAAATCGTAGTCGTAAGTAAAGTAATATAAAGTGTTTTTCCGCCTTATCATCCTACCTTTTAAAAAGAGACATAACCACTACTGCAAGTGATCTATCTTGTTAACACTAAACCTACCGATGCGATGTGTGATGGGCACTTAATTTAAAATAAGAGATAAACTAAAAATATAATTAAACAAACGACGTGACATAAATTGATTCTTCAACTAAATAAAAATTAATCGAGATTTCAAGAAAAGCGTCTAAACAAATTTTGTAATTTAAAAGAAAGAATTTGTGAATCGGTCATTTTGATTGGTGTGTTAATTTTAGAATGAAAATGGAGATCACTTACTCCTATAACACCCACGGTCTCATTACAGAAAAATATGTGCCCATGACATGACACATTGTAGACGGGTGACCTTAATTTCACTAACGCTGCATGTATACTAACAAGGTGATCACGCGTAGTACGTTTCACAACGCAAGATGAAACTTTGTTTATTCAAAGATGTTAATGATCAGTTACAATGATACAAACTTATGTAAACGTTGACAAGAAAGGACAAATAACGATGACTTTGACTTTGACATACATATATTATTGAGGGCATGTGCTTGAGTAACTTTTCCTTATAACTTAATTATCATTCATTGCTTATTAAAAAGTTATTAACGACAAAAGATTTGAGATGTAGTTCCGAAGTGTCCCAAAGGAGGGGCTGATTTCCTTTGGAGAACTAGAGAGGACAGAAAACCCAAATATCAAGCGGTGTCCATAACAGTGTATTAGTTTGGGAAATATTAATGAAAATCTTCAGCACAGTAAATAGAATTCTGCAAACAGACATACCGAACACAACCATCTCCACTGAAGTAACTATCGTGGTCAAGAGGTGAACAACCGATGACACAGTGGGGGGTCTCGGCTTAGAGTATGTATCGGGAGTCCCATTAAAAATTTCACCGTTGCATTGACCTTTATATTAGTATTATATTTAACATTTTTGTTAAGCAAGATAAAATAATTTCAATGTTTCAAAACAATAATCACTGAGCATTAACGCGAGCATGCATTCCCTCTACGAAGAACACCTAACCTAAACTAGTCACACTGTGATTCAACATCTGCGGACATCCACTAGAATCATATTTTATATTCACAAATATATTCACAAATACATGCAACAGTACACGAAACAGAAGATAGCTATGCTTTTGACTGCGTTATAGGTCTACACTCTTAAGTGCAATTATCTGTACTTGTAACAATATTGTTTAAAAATATTTCGATAGCTTATTATATCTACCAGAAATGAAAATCATATTCACAGCCTGCAAACTAATGTGGTTTATACATATGAGACACCGTATAGATAATCAGGTCGAGAGCACAACTACCTGTTACGGTCATTACTATAACGGAGATGGTTGTGTTAGTTATGTCTGTATAAGCAGAATTCTATATGTTATGCTGAAAGTTTATCACTAATATGTCTGAAACCAATAGGCTGATGTGGGAATTGCTTGATATTTGAAGTTTCCTCGCTCCTGCC